TTACTAGTTTTGGCCATCTCATCCTGCAGTGGCTACAGTTTTTTGATTCCTGCAAGTAAGTAAATATATTCACATATGGAACTGTGTGTCACTAAAAAGAAATAAATATAAATATGGATAAATATGGATAAATATGGAAATAAAATCTATCATATAAAAGTATCAAGTTTAATGTAAATTAATTAATTAATAGAAATTAGTCATCCTGGCGTTTGTATATTTAATGGTTTATTTTTGCAAAGAGGCGATAATTCCTTACCTTCTTCTTGCCAAAATATGCGCTGCAACGAGGATGGTTCAATTCTCGTTCAAGGGTAACTAAACTTTCAATATTGAACAAAACGATTGTTATACATTTTCAATGTTTTTTTCAGTTGTGGTCATTTTGAAACGACGGATTGTCGTGTGGTTGATCCTATCAATTTACACAAACCATATCCAGATTGTTGCAAAATGAACTTTATGTGCACTGGGACCAGTGGACAAGTGGTCAATCTACAAGTCTCTCCACTAGAACGCCATTTGTATTGAACTGGTTTCTGATATGAATCATCAAAAATAAAATATTGTTTTAATTCTACTTAATTAAATTAAAATGTTGGTCGAAATCACGTTTAAAATAAAATATAACTTCGGCTTAACTGACATGTTCCGTTTTTTTTCGATTTCATGCACAGAATTTTGAGTACACAACACATCTAATATTGCATCCAAAATAACAATCACATCTTACAATTACATTTACCATATCCTTAATATTGACAATATAAATTATGTTTGTACGTAATAATCCTAACTGATCAACGCAAACTGATTTTAAAAGCTAAATATCTGTAAAGTTCAGAAAAATGTTTTCAGATCTGTTCTGCAAACCAATTAAGATCGGAATCGAATCTAACCATCCAAACCTTAATGCTTGAAATCCAATATTTACGAATCCAAGTTTTGCACTAATTCTGATTAAAGGGGCTCCGACTTCCAAACAATCGGAATTGTTGTCGATTTATATCCAAGCAGTCGTAAGGCAAACAAATTGCAGAAATGGAACAAATTAGTTAAACACGTGCGGGTAGATAAAGAAGAACGAGTAAAATAATAATAAAGAAGTTAATAAATAAAATAAATAAGAACTTAAAATTAAAATGTAAGTGTATATTACACTCTCTCTGAAAGGTAATTTAAAATTGAATTTATTAAAATGCAGAGAAAACTAAAACAGCGAAGCAGAAACTAATCTAAAAGAACCTACTAAAAAAAAACTGACTGAAACCCTATATCAACTCTAAATTGAGAAATTACGGCTAGAATTGTGTGAGCTTGGTATGGCTTCCAACATCGCAAATTAATAAAATCGGCGAATATAGACAACTGGTACTCATCTGAATGGTTTCGTCCAAAGATTAAACAATTTTTCTACAATGTTAGAGGGCCGGAA